AAGGTCCTCCTCCAAAGACCTACAGACACTAATTTCCGACAAAGATCCTACAGTGAACCTTTCTTCTAGGCCACAAAACATCCACGTGTCTTTTCCAGGAGCCACCAAACAATGCCAAACTTGTCCTACTGCCCCAAAAATCTCCAAACTCTGCCTCCAGGTCCCCAAAGACTTCCCCCAAACACCCTGAAAGCTTGCTTTTGGGCCAGCAAAACATCTCAAATCAAATCCAAGTGACTCCAAAGACCTAAAAGGGTCCCCAAGACCCCATAAACCTAAAATGGACCAAGTGGTCCCAAACACCCTACACCTTGCTTCCAACCTTCTCAGACCTCTCCTTGGCCATGGCAAAGGGTCCAAACACTGCCCCAAGGCTCCCATCGAACTCCAAATATCCCCAAATATGCCATAGTTCTTGCTGGCTCCCAGGTAATCCTGTACCTTCCCAGTTTGCCTTAAAGAATCCAAAATCTTCCCCAGGTCCCCAAGCAAACCTTGTCCTACTTCAAGACACACAGAAACCTCTCCAGAACCCTACCACAGGGCCCCAAACATTGTCACAAAATCTCCTAGCAATGTCAAAAGCCCCACACCTTTGGACTCTTAAAGACTCCAAACCTACCTCATCCACCAAAACCCCCAAAGTGTACCCCAGGAACCCAAAAATACCTTCAGTTGACCACAACCCTACTCCCCCCAAACCCATGCCCAGGCTACTGGAGACCCTCAAACCCTGACGAGTAGTCCCCAAAGATCTTCAGACATACACTTGGGCCCCCAAATACCTCGAAGCCTGCTTCAGGTCCTCCAGAGATGGTTCCCAGCCACCAAATCCTGTTTCATGTTCCCCCAAAGTCTGCCAAAATGCACCAAGGACCCTAACTTGGCCCAGTGCTGGGAAAAAAAAAAAAAAAAAAACAAAAAAAAAAAAACCAAAAACAACCTAACCAAAGAGTTTCACAGGCTGCTAAGATCTCTCCCAAGATACACCAAACACCCCCAAACCTGCCCCCAAACCCTAGAACACACAACCCTGCTTCACAATCCCTAGAGACTTCTCCCAAACTTGCCTGAACCATATCCCAGGCCCTGCAAAGATCCCAAATGATGCCCAAGTGTCTCCAGAGATAACCAACCCTGCCAGTGATTGCCAAAATCTGTTCCAGGGTCCCCACATCCCACAAAACTCTGCCTCGAGGCCCTCAAACACCTTCCTCTGAACCCACCCATAGTCTTCCCATCTGTAGTTTCCTGCTCCACTGGGCTGCTCCCACCAACCTGACATCCTGTACCTACATCTCCCTGCAGACGTGCCCCAGGAAGGGCTTGCAGCAATGGACTCTGCTGCAGAAGCACCTTACTGCCTTGCAGGGGTCATGACAATACAGTCTCAGGGCTGGGTTTGTTCAGCCAGTAGGATCTTAGCCTGAGGAGTCTCTAGGGGGCTCTGCCGGTACCAAGAAACTCTGGTCCTATGCTTTTTGGGACTCCCCATTGTGGAGAACAGCATGCAATGAGCTGGGGGTTTGGAAGGGAGGAAAAAGCTCCTTCTGGGAGGGCAAGGGCAATGCAGGCACCTAAAGACAGGCAGGGACTACCACAGACACTGCCCCCCACCCTTCTGGCTGCCCTGGACCTCTTTGCCTATGCCTCCCCCTGAAGTGACCACTGCCACGTGCTGCAGCATAAGTCTGAGGTGAGTCCTGGTGACAAGCAGAGCAAAGGCTACTTTAGGGCCTGACCAGCATGAGTGTTCCAGAACCTCCTGACTGTAACACTGGCTCTTTGGGCAGGACATGGTTTCATTAACTGCCCTAAGGGGGACACCCAGCATCATCTGTCCTCTTGCCAGGCTTTGCAACCTAGAAGGACAATGTATTTGAGAGTTGGGCATTCCTGCCAAACTCCAAAAGAATCGGCCTTTTTTTCACTTTGGATTAGCTAATTTTAAGTGGAGGCTTTGACTTTTGCAGATGAGATCTGCCTTTTCTTAGTAGTGTGCAACACATGGGAATTCGTGAGAGTAGCCTGTGTATATATGGAGGCAGGTTGCAGGCAGTGCCTAAAGGCTGTGGTTTCTTGTAGAACCAGGGAAACTTTCCACCACAAGAGCTTAGTTCAGTCCTCTGCAGTAAAGCAGTCACTGCAGAGTTCCCATAGAGGCAGCAATGGGGCAGTAGGGTAGATGGTAGATTTAAAAGTAGAAAGCAGCAGAGTTTGAAGGAGTGGATTTGTTCCATTTGTAATTCTGCTTAAGCTTAAAGTCCCTCCATCCCATTGACAATTTCAGCATTTTAATGTGGTCTTTCTGCTAAAAGAGCAAATGTAACAGCTGCCTTCCCTGAACTTCAAGGGGAATTGTCTGAGAGGACTGCTTTCAACACTGAGGTGTGCTGCTTTTCCACAAAATAAAGTCACAATGGCCATAAAGTTTTACAATTACCTGACAGGTTCTTGGAACTTTTCTGTAAATTTGGTAGGTGACCACATATCCCTGCATGGAGCCATAGCAGGGGTGCTTGTTCCTGTAGCCAGTTGTGCTGACTGGGAAACACCTGTACCAAAACTTCTCCTCCTCCTCTGCTGGCCTCACCTCTCCACAGAGTACAGCATGGACCATAGTTTTGACCATATTATTTTTCTTTTAGGTTTGGAGTTTCTTAAAATTTCTTTAAAAATGAAAGCGTTCACCAGCAGTCACAGCTTCACAGGTATTGCAATTCAGATAGCTGTACTCAACCCCAGCCACTGGAGGTGGCTGTTCTCCTGCTTTCTGGGTGGGGACAGCAATGCCCTTGACTTAAAAGCCTTTGGGATGATATGGCCCACAGGAAGCGCATCTACCACAGGATCTTGAAATTACTGTGCAGTGATAGACTTAGGCAAAGATGCTGGTGCTATAACTGTTTGATTTTTGGATGTGTAACTTGCTCAATTTTATTTAAATCTTCCTCTTCCAAACAAGGTGTCATTGCACTCATTTCAGGGAGGGGCTGGGGGATGAGTTCCCTGAGCTGCATGGCATTCCCTATCCCTGACACATCTGGAGGATCAGTGGGATTGAACAGGGTGTGCACAGTCTGTGTTCTTGGTGCAAACAGAAAGCACCAAGTTAGAACAAGTAGGAAGTTCTGCCTGCCCTCCCTGTGGGCAAGCAAGGGTTGTGGGGATAAGAGTGCAGGGCAGGACAGGGAAGGGAAGGAGAAGCAGTGGGCATGCAAGGGCTACCCATCAAAACAGAGGGGCTGCTGCTTTGGCCACAGGAGCTGTCTGAAGCATGACAACACAAGGGAGCCCAGGAAAGCCTGGAGAGTGTCATCAGAGGAACAGCTTTTCACTGCCTCACTGGCTCCTTTGCAGGCTCACTAGTGGGACTAGCTAAGGAGACAAAGTCCCTGAAGAACTTCAGGATACTGTCCTGTAAGTTCCTGTGCTCCTGCCAGGCCACCACCTCAGGGAGAAAGGTCTGTTTAGGGAGCAGAGCCCCTTTGCTCCCAGTCCCAGCTGGAGACTCTGCCCTGCTGCAGGTGGACAGGCCACCCCTCCCTGGATGACACTGGGATGTCAAGGCCTGCCTCTCTCATGGGGTCCAGCCAATTTAAGCAGTGCCAGCCTGAGTGCCTTTGGCTTGTCAGTGCTGATTTCAGGAACTGCTCACTGGCAACCCTTCCTCTGCCCCTCCATGTCTTCTCTTTACATACTGCATGGTCCCAGAAACAGCAGCCCTGGAGCAGGACGTCCCCTTTTTACCTCACAACTTGCTTGGTGAGAGGAAAACAGGCGAGGGTGAATCTGTACGATGGGCACAGCGGCACCTCTCATGGTTTCCTTTTCTCTGTGTTTTCTTAGCACCAGAGGAAACTCAGTGAAGGCTGTCAGGTTTCCCAAATTTTTCTAAGAACGTGTCCTGCAGTGACCTACCAAGGGAAGAGGCATGGAGACCTGTGAAGGAAGGCTCGGAGTCAACAAAACAACCCAAACCAGGATTGATGCCTGAATACATGTGTATTTATCTGCCATTTGAGGAATTGAAGATCTATTCCTTAACAACACAGTTCTTGCTCATGATTCATTTGTACATGATATTCATCATCCTCTCTTCATTTCCCACCCTGTGGGTCTATAGCTCTGCGCTCAGTAAGATGCGAGTACCAGGGAGCTGATGTCATCTCTTTAGCATGTCTGGTTATAGACCCGACTGGCTTCTAGTCACAGGGTGGAAGATGATGAAGTACAAAAGCTCTCTGAGGAGAGAATGAGCTTGTCTTATTTGATTTTCCTCCATCATGTCTGACATCTTTATGTTATTGCCTCTCTCCCAGAATAGGTTGGAGGGCTCCTCTGTTCCTCAAACTGTTTAGCCTGGTTTTGGCTTTGCTGCTTTGCAAGAGGCTTTCTGCAGTACCAGTTTTCTAGTGACACCTACAGACCTATCGTAGAGGCCTCTGCTGGGGTTACCAGTGTCACACTGCTTGTTAAGGCAGCCAGACCACTCCTTTAGCAGGGAGAGGACATTGGTCCACCCCCCAGCATACTAGGCCCATGCCATAATATCAGCATCCCTATGTCCTGCTTAGCTTCATGCTTTCCATAGGCTTTCCAGGGAAAGGCATGTTTAAATGTGAGCTGTGAGAGACAATGAGTTATGCAGCCTTGAGGAGAAGAGTACAGCAGTAAGCTGAATTCAGCTATGGTAGTAATTACAGACTAGCACTGAAATTTGAGCCTCTTTTGTTCTAAAGACAAAATATTAAGTTAGCTGAGTCAGCAGAAACAGCTGATGGTGCAATGTAGGTGTTGCATTTAAGGTGAAGAATTAACTTGGTAAGAGGTGAATCGCCTTGCATTCTAGCCGGTCCTCAGAGATTAGAGAGGCTAGGGATGGCTGGACTTATCTCTTAATAGGTATGCCAATTATTGCTGTGACTATAGGTCTGACACCAGATGCACGAACAGCCCATGTGCTATAGGTCTGGTTGCACTCAAGAGAAGCAGTCACGTATGCAAATAGTACGGTTTATTATTATGCAACATCTACAGATTCTTTGAGATTGCCTACAGTAAATGCACAAACTGCAGGTTGGCTGTATAGCACTACACACAAAAAATTGCAATCACACACTTAATTCCTGAGTAGCTGCGGGCATAAATCTTACCAAAAGGTGTCCCTGCTGGGGGTGGGCCAGTAAGGAGAACAAACTCATTGATCTGTCCCCCCAATTTGGTGTTGGATTATTGTCCCTCTGAGTACAAACTTGGGGGAGTATTTATCTAAATGTGTATGCATGAGTGGGTGGGACTGTGGTCAATCCATTGTTTCTTGAGTAACGACACAGCACATTTCTTGGTGCAACGTGCACGGAGTTGTTGTGGGAAAAGCAGGCAGTTGTAGGAAAAGAGGAAGCACAGGAGATAGTGTCTGCAGAGTTGTGCAAAACGTCCCTTGGGAAAAGCGGAAGACCAGGAGATAAATCTATATAGTTGTGTCAAAACATTCCTTGAGAAAAGTGGAAGAACAGGACTGTGTGGCCTCCACCTTGCTTCACATTCCTCCTTGGTGCCATGACAATACAAATCACCGGATCTTCATCCTGACCCATGTTTGTTCTAGGCACCATGTGTTAAGGAAATGTGTGTTTTACAGTTTCTTTGCTGTTTTGCTTTTCCCACACTTCCAACAGTAGGTATTTGTGTGAGCTACCTGGCCTCACTGTTAGCAGTGCCACACCACTTCTGTGGCATGCTGCCAGGGTATGCAAACTGTATAGTGGAGGAGCAACTACACATTAACAATTCAGAATTAGCCTTACACATTTATATGTCTCATGCATTAGTAGAGACAAAAATCTCCCCTTTCAAATCTCTTTTATATGCTTGGATAAAGATAAGAGTTAGCTGGTGCAAGGCAGCCTCTCTGATTAGGGCAACAGCAGATTTTGGAGATATTTGCTAGTATTATTTCCTCACTCTTTTAACCTACCCTTCAAAATAGAGCTAACTGTAGTTTAACCTACAGCTAATTTTACAGTGTCATTTTAAGGATCTGAGATACCACTATACATCATTATTCTGAACACAACTTAATGCACATCTGGCACATACAGAGACCTTTGATTTGTGCTACATAGCAATCTGATGCACCATTGCATCTATAAAATAGTTTTTAAAGTTTAATATAGTGAGAAAATATTAATATTTTCTTAAATCACCCTTTATTTAAAAACATAGGCATTTGTAAATATATAAAAGTATAAAGTACCAAGTGCTTCATGCTTCCCAGTATAGTAGGATTCAGGAGTGGCAGGTAAATTTGGTGTTAATCTGTTTGGTGTATTAGGTCCAGAGCTGCAGAACTGACCAGCTAGTTTTGCAAAAGACATCTAATCTCATTCCTCTGACATGTCCAAACTGATCTTGTTTCACCTCAGATTCAGACTTCCTTCTTGCCCCTTTTGACAAACATCAGTGCTTATTGGTGAAAGCAAGGCTGGAGCTGTAGGAACTAGCAGGCTCCCTACAAAGATGCAGCTAGGTGTTTTACAAAGGGAAGGATTTCCACTTGTTAATGGGGAAGATAATTCAGGAACTGAGAGCTCCTCTGTACAGTGTCTCTCATTTTTTTTACCACTGAAATGGTATAGGGCAAAAAGTTCTCAGGTTGTACATCTAGACCTGGACACCAAAGCAGGACACTGGACTGCTGTGGAAGTACTGTAAAACAAAAAATCCAGTTGTACCCATTGCAATTGTTAGGGTAACTGAACTTCAGATGGGATTTTTTTGTGTCACTACCCAGTCTCTTCTAACACTGAAGCATAGCTGTCAGTTGCAGAGAAAACTGGAAGGTGCTTGTTCATGTTGTTCCCTACTTGGTCTTCCCCAAAAAGCCCCTATCATCTGCAGAAACTTAGGACAGGTCCCTGCATTCTCTATAAGTGGTCATCTTTGCCAGTTCTTCTGCCAGCCTCCACCACACCAGGCACTGCTGTGGCATCCCCAAAAAGTGAGCTGCCCTTCTCAGTGTTTCCCTACGAGAGCATAACTTGGCCTGGGGAGGGTACACCATCCTAATCTTACACTAGCAGGTGTGTCTTCCTGTGGAAAATTTAAACCACTAGAATTACAGGAGAGGTGGAGAAACAACAGAAAACCAAGTAAAACAGCTTGTCCTGAATGGCTCAGCATCTGGCAGGGGACTAGAAGCATGAGCAATACTGCCATATTTAACTTCTGTTGCTGACTGATACTTTCTTTTATAGGTGGCACTGCAGGTAGGGATTTTCTTTTCTTGTTTGTAAGAGAGGACAGAGTAGCTCATTGCAACAGACTTGTATTACGAATCACATACTTATGCTTCCTTGCTGCAATGGAAGGATGCTCTAGCTCCTACCACCCCTCAGCTAAGAGGCACAATTAGCTCTAACTTTTGAGTGGAAGAGTTGTTAGGGTGTACAAGAACCACAGCCCTTAAACAGAAGTTTTCTACTACGTTTGTGATAGGCATGGCTTCTACCCCTCTGAAATCTTCACCACTGATCCAAGTACATTAAAATGAAAAAATGTCTGAGATATGATGCTCCTCTCCTCTGCAACATTTCTTGAGCTTGAATCAGCTAAAAATCCGTTACCTGCATTGTTGTCCAGTCCCACTTTGACCTTTCTGGTAGCACAGCCTTTCTTACAGCTCAGACTCACAAGTAAATACAAGATTGAGGGAACCACAGCAAAGTTGCCTCAGTGACTCTGCTCTAGCCCTTGTCTGTCATGGAACAGAACCCAGTTATCCTAGTCTGCCAGATGAGCATTTGCAGTGATGGTTCCTGCCCACAGGTCTGAGTCCTTCCCTTACTGGGCCCTTGGCATCCTCTTTTTGGCTTGGTTAGGCTTCAGGAACATCTTCTATTGCTTCATCTTCTGCCTTGATCAAATCACCGTTTGTCTCAGCATGGAGCCTCTTGTAGTCAGTGTGGAAGAAGATGACGTAGAAGCAAGCCATAGCACTGCAGAGGCCAGCCAGCACCAGTACTGGAGCTGTAAGGAAGATACACTTTTAGACAGTGAATTCACAACTCCCCATGGGTGCAGAAGTCTAGAGATCAGCTTCCCAGCAACTGCACAGCCTGGGTGATCTCCCAAGGGCTACCCCAGAGAACAGTGTGCAGCTCACAGTGGGGCAATGCCAGTTTGATAACAGCCAAACCTTGTCTCTTGTAACACTGATGTAGAAAGAGAATTTGGGTGAAATGTGGAAGGTTTCCAGGACTCTTGTCCTTCATGACTTCACACGTTGGACATCTTACACTGGTACACACAGTGTGTGTTTGTGTGTTTCTCTGTATGTGCACACATTTGTGTGTTGGGAGGTGGTGAAGAAAGTTACAAGAAAGACTGAATCAAAACACTTGAGCTTCATAAGAGGACAGGTCCACACAGGTAGTGCTTCCTGTTACGTCATCTGAGAGTGAAGTATAGGAAAGGTTCATAAAGTATAAACTTTAATGAAAGGAAAATTTGTGTAGAAAGAACATTTTCTGAAAAAAAAAAAATCTAAAAGCCCATACAATAAGGCCTGAAAGTAGTTACATTCTCATTCCAGCAATGTCTCAAATAAACACCTCCATGCTTTTCTCCAGATATCTCTGCATGTATCAGACTGCAAAATGAGTAGGACTGGGTACCTAATCATGAGATCCAGCTCTGATCTGATGAGATGAAGAGTTGCGGGCTTTCAGACATAAATCAGTGAAATTGCTTTTTGGAAGCAGTTATTGTGAAGCCTTGTTCCCTGCCAGCTAGTGGAGTTTGTTCTGGGGAGTGCCTGTTCAGTCAAGCAGGATATATTTAAAAAGTGTTTGCCAGCCTTTGTGTTATGCTGTGTCCCCAGGACTTTGTGTCAATATTACATAAATATGAACCAGTTGAGAGTTTGAGATCAGGGTTTAGCCTTCAGTGGAAACACATTTGTGCTCCTGCTCATCTCAGTTGCTGCCTCTTCTCCTCACCAGCTAGGAAAGGAAGGGAAATGTGGAATAAGTCAGAAAAAAGCTGTACCAGCGTGTTATAAACCCAGGCAGCTGTGTGTGCAGAAGCAAGGGAAATCACCTTCATTCAATACATTTGTAGTCTTGGCCTCCCATGCTGCAAAGCAGCACAGGCTGTGCTACATGGGCAGTGTCCTCCCCTCAGAACAGCTGCCTTCTATCTTAGTGAAGCTCAGGTCTCTGCAGAGTGGCCATAAGAGAAATTTTAATCCAGAACCAACAGCAGCATTCATGGCATTTTAGAGGTCTTCCCATTTCAACCTCACAGGCCTGGTTTAGCAGGAGCAGCAAGGAGTGCACCATCAGGTTGTGAAAGGTGGCTAAGAAATATGCTACAATAGGAATCAGTCTTGAAGGCTCCCTCACAGTGAGACTTGGAGGAGATTGGGGTGGGTACGTGGGGTTTAACCGACTATCCAGCACCATTTCCCAAGAACATACTTACTTGTCCAGTCCAGGGCTCCATCCTGGTCAAGGGCGCAGGTAGAGGATGGATCCTCAGAAACACGCACGGTGAAGGCTTGTAGCAGAATCATTAAAACCACACCTTCAATCTGGCTGTGGGGAGAAGCCAACATGCAGTCATGGTGCCTGCCCAATTTGTCAGTGCTGCAGACAAGACAAGCTTCCTCAGCGGGAAGAAAGTGTGGCCCCGTTTCTGGAGCAGGGTCCTCCTAGCAAAGAAAGCTACTGCTGGCTTCGTCTGGCCCAGGTGCTTGGTTATGTCATGGGTTTGAGTGAGTGGTGGGTTTTTTTGGTATCAGGGGAGGGGGCTATGGGGGTGGCCCCCTGTTAGAAGATTCTTGAAGCTCCCCCAGCTCCAAGTCAACTCCACCTCTGTTTGCAAAACTGAGACAATCAGCTGCACCTCTGTGATAACGTATTTAAGAAGGGACATGGTGACAAGCAGGGGGACTTGTGAGGAGGAGTTGCTGCAGCCGCGTGAACATCTCCAGGCACATGTAGCAAGAGAGTTCATTCAATAACATCTCCTGCCTCCCTGGGAGGCTGCAGGACAAGGTCCCACACGCCCTCCCCACATCCCAACATTGCTGGCAAGCCCTCTGCACTCCACTGCTTCCTCCCATGGGAGATCAAAGGCAGCACTTGGCTTGCTTTCAGAGATTTTCTTCTACTTGTTGAGCCATCAAACCAGTGCCTCCAGTCTCAAGCTCTGGGTGTCCATTTGCCAAAGGTGGCTGCACCCCTCATCCCCTGTGGGGACACTACAGGATGTAGTCACTTCTCCAGGTGGGTTTTTTTGTTCAGTTCCTGCTGCTCCCTGGGCCAGGATGGACATAGTGCTTGGGTCTCAGCTCAGTGTTGGGGCTGAATGGAGCCCAGCATACCCCCATTGGAGTCTGCAGGGTGACGGAGTGAACATTGATAACAGTAATACTGATAAATCTTGGGCTGCCTAGTCCTCAGAGTTGGAGAACCACTCCTGTGGGAACAGTGACATTCCATTTGTGGACACTGAAATTCTAAGGGACCAGTTCTATCAGTTGAATGTTTGCAAGTCCATGGGGCCAGACAGGATTCATCCCACCGTACTGAAAGAGCTAGCAATATTACACCAGGACCCCTTTCAATCAGTGATTAAAGGTCTTGGAAGTCCGGTGAGGTCCCTGCTGACTGGAAGCTAGTCAGTATTATTCCAGTTTACAAGAAGGTCATGGGGTCAGACCCAGGAAATTACAGACCTGTAAGTCTAACCTCTGTACCTGGGAAAATTATGGAGAAGATCATATTGGATGCTGTTGAAAGGCATTTAAAAGACAATGCAGTCGTCAGGCACAGCCAACATGGGTTCACAAAGGGAAAGTCCTGCTTAATTAATTCAATAACCTTCTATGATATTGTCACACACCTAGGGATGAAGGGAAGGCAGTGGATGTAGTTTTTCTGGATTTCAGTAATGCTTTTGATACCATCCCTCACAGCATCCCTCTGGACAAGTTGTCCAGCTGTGAGATGAGTAGAAACATGGTGCATTGCGTGAAGAACTGGCTGAACAGCAGGGCTTAAAGGGTTGCAGTGAATGGGGCTACATCTGGCTGGTGACCGGTCACCACTGGTGTTCCTCAGGGCCAGTTCTAGGGCTAATTCTGTTAAACATTTTTACTAATGATCTGGAGGCAGAAGTTGAATGCAACCTTAGCAGTTTTGCTGATGACACTAAACTGGGAGGTGCTTTTGACTCTCCAAAGGGACAAGATGTCTTGCAGAGAGATCTAGATAAACTGGAGTATTGAACAATGCTTGATGGGATGAAATTTAACAAGTCCAAATGCCAGATTCTACATCTGTGTCGTGGTTTGAGCTCAGATGGGAACTGACCACCACACTGCTGCTCACTCCCCCCTTGCTTCCCCATGCTGAGAAGGAGAAAATAAAGCAAAAGGTTCAGTGGTCTGAGCTCAGAGGGCAACTGAGCACCACGCAGCTGCTCACTTTCCTCTTTCCACCAGTTCTGAGAAGGAGAAAATGAGGCAAGGCTTGGGATTCGAGACAAGACAGGAAGGGATAAATGACCCATTACAGTCATGAGCAAAATGCAGACTCGTTAGGGGAAGGAAAAAAGAACATAGATTTATTACAGACACTAACACCACCACTTAGCAGAGTAGGACAGTGAGAAGCATTGCCACATCTTGAAAACACCTTCCCCTACCCCACCCTTCTTCCCGGGCTCAGCTCTGTTCCCGATATCTCTACCTCCTCCTCGCAGCGGTGCAGGGGCAGGGGATGGGAGGTGCAGTCAGTGCTGCTTCTGCTTCCATCTTCAGTGGAGGGGAAACTTCTGGAACTTGTTCCCCCTGCTCCAGCGTGGTCCCTTTCTCATAGGAGACAGTCCTCCACAACTTTTCTCCGACTTGAGTCCCTCTCATGGGCTGCAGTGTTTCCATAGCTTCTCCGGCGTGGGACACCAGCTTTCTTCAACTTGAGTCCTCCCCACAAGATGCAGCCCTTCCCAAGCTGCTCCAGCATGGGAAAGCCCCGCACGTTGCAATCCTTCCAGCACCAATCTACAACAGCAGGGGCTGCTTCCTCCCACAGGGTCCTGGCTGGCTTTGGGCACAGCCACCTTAATTGGCTGTACAGGGCCCCCCACAGGCCATATATCAGTGTCTGCTCCACTGACCTTCAAGGGGGAGCTGCCCTGCCATTTCACCACAGGATACAGAGGGACTCTGCTCCAGCACACCTTCTCTCCCTCCTTTCTTCCTCCATTCCTCCACTGACCTTAATGTTAAACACAGATGTTGCTACTCCTCCTCACAAGTTCAATTCCTCTTCCCAGGTCCCTTCTTAAATAAGTTATCGCAGAGGTGCAGCTGATTGGCTTGGCCTTGGTGCAGAGGTGGGGCCTACTTGGAGCCTGGGGAGCTTTGAGAAGATTCTCACAGGGGGACACTGCTGTAGCTCCCTCTGCTGCTACCAAAAAACCCCACCACTAACTCAAACCCAGGACAACCTGAGATGGATGAATTCCAGACACAAGTATAAACTGGGAGAGGAGTGGCTGGAGACACAATACAACCAGCCGGTCAAAAGAGGCGATTAGGCCGCTGTATTTAGTTACTGTGGCCACATTTTGACTAGTATGTGAAGTTCAGGGCCCCACAATTTAAGAAGGATGTTAAGGCACTTGAGTGTGTCCAGAGTAGGGCAACAAAGCTGGTGGAAGGGCTGGAAGGCATGTCCTGTGAAGAGCGGCTGAAGACACAGGGTTTGTCTAGTTTGGAGAAAAGGAAGCTGAGGAGTGACCTCATTGCTCTCTACAGCTTCAGGAGGACATGAAGTGGAGAAGGAGGTGCTGATCTCTTCTCCCTGGTATCCAGTGACATGAGGTGTGGCAATGGTTCAAAGTTCTGTCAGGGGTGGTTCAGACTTGATATTAGGAAACACTTTTTTATCAAGACAGTGGTCAAACACTGCAACACGCTTCCTAGAGATGTGGTTGATGCCCCAAGCCTGTCAGTGTTTAAGACGCATTTGGACAATGCCCTTAATAACATGGTTTAACTTTTGGTCAGCCCTGAAGTGGTCAGGCAGTTGAACTAGATGGTCATTGCAGGTCTCTTCCAAATTAACTACTCTATTCTACTCCATTCTATTCTGTTCTGTTCTGTTCTGTTCTGTTCTATTCATTGCTGTTGTTCCACTTGAGACCCTAGGCCTCCCACCCTGGGAAAGCCACCTCCTTCCTTCCCATATACCTACTGCTCTGAATAAGACTGTGCAGCAAAACCCTTCTAGAGAAAGAGAAAACCACAGCTTTTCAGTATATGCTGATTCTCAGAGCCAGGACTGTAATGATATATTAGCAACTGCATGTACAGGGGCTCTTCCCTGCTCTCTAGAGCATGCTGAGTCAGTAGCAAGAAGACAGTAAATGTTGTCTCTTTTGGCAGATAGAGCTCTTTACTGCCCAGAGTTGTGCTCTCCAACACTCACATGACATTCAGTGCTGAGCAGGGTGCAGGGATAATGATTTAGGACCAATTCTGTAAAGGGATTACGCTTGGCATTTGGTACTGAAGAACTGTAGATGTCAGTGTACTGTAAGTGGTATTTGCTCTGGGCACAGCTTTGTACGGCAATGAACACTCAGTGGCACTGGAACAAGCTTAGAAGCTGGCTGATCTGATGCTCTCTGCAGCTACACCTCAGGAGCAGCTGTCAGTGCTGACCCTTTGCAGTGCCTTCCCAACTTTTGGTGAAGGAGTGACAAGAGAATTTCCAGGGAATCACATGCTCCCTTACTACTAAACTTCTCTAGAAAAGGAAGACCTTGGCACAAGGACATGGGTAACCTGTATTTCTAAAAACAAATGCAATGTATTAATCCACAGTTTTATCTAGTTTTAACCAGTAGGTCAATTACAATATCACCAGTTCAGTAAACCATGCAGAAAGTTACCATAAAAACACAAACAAAAAGTTGAAGGCAATACCCATTGACCTAAGATCACTGTTAATCCTCTCAAGTTCCATCATAAAGAAAAACAAAAAAGCTGCATCAGTAAAACCGGAAGGCATTAATTGCTTCCTCCTGGCTCAGCCCCAGGTTTTTTACCCACTTTTTACCCCAGATTTAGGTTCTACTTCCTATGCATACTTTTGATGCAAACACTGTGTCCTGGGCTTGAGTGAGTGGTGGGGTTTTTTGGTAGCAGGGGAGGGGGCTATAGGTGTGGCCCCGTTAGAAGATTCCTGAAGCTCCCCCAGCACCAAGTCAGCTCCACCTCTGCATGAAAACTGAGCCAATCAGCTGTGCCTCTGCGATAACGTATTTAAGAAGGGATGTGGTGACAAGCAGTGGGACTTGTGAGGAGGAGTTGCGGCAGCCGCATGAACACCAAGGTCAGTGGAGGAACGGAAGAAGAAAGCAGAGGGGAGGTGTGCCAGAGCAGAGACACCCCTGTATCCTGTGGTGAGATGGCGGGGCTGTCCCCCCCCTGCCACCCATGAAGATCTATGGTGGAGCAGACATTGATTTATGGCATGTGTTCCGTTTCGCATGGCTGATCAAGGTGCTGTGCCTGAAGAAGGCCAGAGTCTTGTGGGAAAAGGTAGCCCCACTGTTGTAATTCAGTGCTGGGAGGATTGCAGCATGCCGGGGTGTCCCACACTGGGGAAGGGCTGCAGCCTCTGGGAGGGACTCCAGTTGGAGAAAGTTAGTGACTCACACCAGAGCAGTATAAGGAAATGCTGCAGCCCGTGGGAGGGACTCATGTTGGAGAAAGTTTGTGGAGGACTGTTTCCTGTGAGAGGGGAACCACAACAGAGCAGGGGGAGAAGATCCAGACGCTCTCCCCACTGAAGATGGAATAAGCAGCAGCACTGACTGCAACCCCCATCCCCTGTCCCTGTGCCGTTGGGGGGAGGAGGTAGAGATATCAGGAGCAGAGCTGAGCCCAGGAAGAAGGGAGGGGTGGGGGGTAGGTGTTTTCAAGATGTGACAATGCTTCTCACTGTCCTACTCTGTTACGTGTTGTTAGTGTCTGTAATAAATCTATGTTCTTTTTTTCTTCCCCTAACTAGTCTGTCTTTTGCTCATGACCATAAAGGGTGATTTTCCCCTCCTGGTCCTATCTCAAACCCCAAGCCTGGCTCATCTGTCCCTTCTTATTGCCGGAAGAGAAGGGGGAGAGAGTGCTTCATGGTGTTTGGCTGCTGACCAGGCTCAGACCATGACAGGTTAACTGGCCATGGCTCACAGGGTGTCCAGCTCAGCTTTCCAGCACACCCCCAAGCACTGGGCCAGCATGGCAGGATCACTATATACTCCCTCTGGAGGTGAGTAGGTGTTGAACTACACCTGTCAAGGAGCTGATACTTAGTCACTGGGCAGAGACTTGGAAATACTCACTGCAGGGTTGAGGATGAAAAAAATTCAGACTATGACTACAGCCTCCTCCTCCTCACTCATAGCTGGCTGGCAGCAGCAACAAAGTCCACAGCCAGTGGCAGACAACAGACTTCAAAGGCAGTGTCTAATGCTGCTCTTTGGCTGACACTTCTTGCTACTGCAGCTTCACCTGGCACACACACAAATGACACCAGGCCATGTATATCACTGCTTAGGGCTTCAACAAGTCATTCCTGCTGCAGTCCAGTGACATCGCTAGGCATGTAAATTGATCACAGGAAGGACTGTCACTGCCCCATCTGTTGTGACCAGCTGCCTTATGAGTGATGATCCCCATTTCCCTCATAAGAACACTGAGACCTGATAAGTACCTGTACTGCCATGGGAATAGGTGGCCCTCTCAGGCATACAGTCCCCATGTGCTTCAATGGTAGGTGATACTAGGCATGGTTAAATCCCGCTTTGTGCCAAGCAAGGGAGACTTTCATCTTCCTCCTTGCTTTTCTTGCACCAATTCCACATATTCCTCCTTGTTTGAAAACCAGTATCTCTTCAGCTCTACAGCTCAGCCAGCTAGCTCCCCACTTGCCACGGTCACGTGCACAGACACCAGAGAGAAGTTCAGCAGGATAGTTAGCACTGATGCTCACACTCCTCTGTTTGTGTGTGTGTGTGTTTGAATCCAAGCTCAGCTGTCAACTGGATTTAACCTGCCTGCTTACCTTGTGACAAAAATCAGGCCTGTAGATGTACCCTCTCCCACAGGGTAGGAGCACTCCACGGACAGCTCCATGGCAATGGGGTAGATGGCAAAACTGAAGAAACCAAAGAGTGAGCTGGTGATGGCCAGCATGATGGCCTGATGTCTGAACCGAGAAGTCTAAAGGCAGAAAAGCAACATCAAAGTCTCAGTGTCAGCACTGCTGCACAGAAAGTCTCTGAACCCATTACCTGCAGGAATTCCCAGGGGCTCACTGTTCTCACCAGTACCTTCCCTAACTGTTCTCAAAATCTCTTTTACTTCCAGCCCTCTAGAGACAATAAATGGGTCCATGATGGAGATTTATCTGTTGAATTTAAGCAAGGGGAAATAGGATCAGCAGAATTACCTGAAAAGCAATGGTGTCATCATATTACTGTGACTTGATTTCCTGGACAGTAACTTACCAGGAGTGTGATCAATGTATCTCCAGCACCAAGTGAAATACACACCTTCCTCCCAATTCAAGTTAGTATTTCAGAAGTGGTGTTTGCAGTGGATTACATATGAGAATTCAGTGGCTTGCTGCAGCTCAGTGATAGGGAAAACTACTCCTTATCATGTCAGACTCATGTTTGTAACATTGGGGTTTTACCACAAAAACAACCCCACAAAACAAACAAAAAAAAAAACACCTGAAATATTCACAAACCCTAGAAATTGGTTTAGTGCCCGGTAGAGCCTTGTCCCTCACTGGAGGAAAAAGCATGGACTTGTCCAGCCAATGCAAGTAAAGTCAAGTGCATAAATCCTGCAGCCACAGTGCTGGTACCTCTTTCCTTAATCATGTAATAAATTTCCACAGAGTAACACAAGGTGTCTGTTCTGTCATGGCTACAGCAGGCCTGGCCTAGCTAAAGTAGTAAAGTCAAGGAAAACTGCATCTGGCATCTGAGTTCAAAGCATCAAGGCATCAAGCAGATTTGAATGGTGTTTTTTTTGGTTTACTACTTTGAACTAGTAGTTCATCTGTATGGGATGAAGGGGACAGAAGGAAGGGGAGGCAGGAAAGGTTTGCTTGTTGGTTCTGACAGAGCCTCTTGCCTATTCTGTATTTTACTTGAGCCCTAGCATGCTAACTTGTATTCAGAGCATCCCCCCAACAAATGCCAGAGTACTAAAGCAGGAAATGCAAGGTCTGCTTTAGGCACCTTGTGCTACACTGAGAAGGGCATTGCATTTGTCTGTCCCTTAAAAGTGGAGCTAATATCACTGGGGTCCTGGCCCTGGGGTAAGTGTGATCATGCTGTATTGGAAGTCTGAATTTTTCAACACACAGGAGAAATGCATAGCACAAGCCTGTTGGGAAACTAGAGATCTGCACCCCAGTCTGGGTCCTCTGCAGTGCTAGTTCTGCTGGGTGTCCTTGCTCAGGTTTTTTCTGGGTGATGGCTCCCACTGGCAATGACTATGCTTGAATGCAGTACTTCCAGCCCCATGGGTGTAAAATCTCCAGGTTCTGCATTCCTCTCCTGGCTGGATTCAAGTGTCTCCCTTTTCTACACCTCCCTTGTCTTGTCCTCCTTGAGAAACCACTGCAGATCTAGGTCCCTTCTGCTAATCTTACACTCCTGGCAGCCACCACTGTTAAAGGCAGGTGTTGGGAAAACTATTATATTCTTGTTCATTTTTGTAAGATGGATATTTAGCAATTCAAGTTCTTTTTGGAAAAAATGGTCTCAGGGACAGTAAACAAACATGGTGACCCAATATAAGGAAGTAAAATTATACCTATTTATTTATATCCTGAAACCATCTATCTCAGGCTCCACAGTGACTGAAATCTTCAGTAAACCTTTAAAACATTCCTATCACAGAGGGATAATCCCAAAACATAACACATGGTTTAACATGACATCAAATGACCCTGGTTTGAGTTGATGATTTATCAGATGGCAACAGAACTAAGCCCACAGGTATGGTGCAATGAAAGGGAGAACTCACCACTGCAAACACAATGCTGGCAAGTGCACTCAGACAGAAACAAATCTTGGTGGACTCTATGAACTTCCTCGTCCGATCGACATACAGGCCTAGCAGGAAAGCACCCAGCAAACCACATACTGTGAACAGTGCACCATTCAGGCCAGAAAAGTCCTGGAGAACAGAAGAACAAGTAACTGAGCAACTAGAGCAGTTAGGAAAGGGGTTTTAATGTCACTGACCCATCTGCCTCCTGCTATTGGTCAATTGGTGAGGTAGGAAAAGCTTCCCTAACTGTTGCAATAGCTGAGACCTCCACAGGGCTCTGAGTAGCAAACAATAGGCCCAGGTGCTGCTACAAATGTGTGGGGACAGCAGGACCATAGCACTTCCGCAGTCTCAATGTATGACAAGTCTCTGCACACCTGGCAAGGGAGGCTGGGTGCAGAGCAGCAGCAGTTGCCTGGCATTAAATGCTCCAGCCCAGGCATGAGACTGTTCTTGGTTCCTCCAGGGGCAATAAAATGACTTGTCCACACTGGTGGCAACAGGTCCAACTGCCTTGGGATATGGTGTTTATAATCATGCTCCTGGCCCTTTTCTTACCAGGGACCTGCACTGGCAGAATGCCTTTCACAAGGCTGGCAGCCCTAAAGCGTGTTAGATGAGGCACAGCATTGTCTGGCTGTAGCAAGGAGGTCTAATTAAAGAGGCAGTGAGCAGTAGTTAGGATAGGATATGTGCTTTGTTGCCTGCACTGAATATCTCTGCTTGTCCCGCTCCTTTAGCTCTGTAAGAATTCAAATGCAGACACCAATCCTGAAAGCAGAGAAGCTATAACAACTTTGGGTAAATATTTTTGGGAGCCTGATGGGCAGGCTGGAAGGAAAGGGTATCTCGAATAGCTTCTGTGGTCTAATGGGCCAGGGCAAGCCAGCCACACACAGACAAAAGCATCATGATGCACAGAAAGCAAGGCTGCGAAGTTTAAAAGGTTTCCAGTTAAAAGCCCATGGAGTGTGCAAATGTGACCTGGCTATGGTGCATTAAGACAGGTATCAAACCTGGGGGAGTTGAGAGGGGGCGGACAGAGACCAGACATGTAGATGTGCATACATCACAACTGGAGAGATGTTTTAAGAGGACCTCCATGCGAATACAAGCAGCAGGACTGAACTGCTGCCTGCCTGAGGGAAAATGCAGGAACTGGGGCAGCCCCTTGCTATTGCAGGGAGAGAGCAGCAAGAACCAGCTAGCTGTGCATGCACTGTGCTCAATTGTAAAAGCAGCACCTGGCCCATGTCATGGGAAGGATGAGGAAACAGCTGTCACAGTACCCATGACTTCCTCTGCTGTCCTGGCTTCATATATTACTGTGCAGAGCAAAAGGTGCTTGCATCAGCCTGCCTTCAGCTTCACTCTAGGGCCTGCCTGGGCCACATCCTACTCTGGGAAAGGTGTCAGAAGGCTGCATAGACATCAGTGCTCTGGATTGGTTTAGAAAAAACACAATACTCTTTTTTCCGAAAAAGTGTTTGAGGAGTAAAATTTTTTAATTTGCAAATGGGAGCTTACCCTTGGGCAGTAATAAAAATGCAGGTCATCCATTATACTGAGAAATTGATTGTGGTCTGGATTAATGTACTGCTTAATCCACATTAGATAATGTGAACAACTAAGATATGAGACAATGCAGCGTATTCAGCTGTCTTCGTTTTCCTCTGAGTACCCTATCAAGGAAAAGAATTTTGATTGTACCATAGATGATGTGGACAATGGGGAGAAAAGGAGGAAGACTTACATTTGAATATCCTTTTTCACAAAGGATCTGTTCTAACAGAGCTGAAAAGCAGGTGAACATCCCAATTCCTCCTCCAAAGCACACTGCCAGGATGATGTAAGGCTTGTTTCTCAGGAGCTAGAGAAAGATGTTAACATATCATTTAAACAAGTAGGGGGGGAAAAAAGGGCCTGGCTGTGACAGTAGACTCGAGGGTCAATTGCTCTGACTCCTCAGTTGGAAATGTTGACAGGGCAACCCTGTGATCATTAGAGGAGTTTGGCTCTCTGCTGTCAGTTCAGCCAGAGGACAAATTAAAATGGGGACCATGTAGGGAGAAAGGATCTCTTCAGTGCCCAAATTCTTCCTTCACTTTGTCATGTGCTGCCCTACTTGTTATCACATCTGCTCAGAAGGCTCAGGTTGTGTGATATTCTTGGTTGAGCCCAGGTGTGCCTGTCTGAGCTAGCTGAACGGCAGCCAGCCCTCAGCTGAATGGTCAGATAGCATCTCTCACAGCTTCACTGTGAACGGCTTCCACTCCCTGAGGAAGGAAGAGATCCCGGTCTCCTTGAGGGGGTTTTCCATGGTGGGTTTGGTGGAGTTCAGAGTCTGCTTTGTTAGCAGATTCCCCAGCATATCCCTGTCTGGCAGGGCTGCATTCCTCACTCCAACACTGGTCTCTCTCTGTGCTACAGCACTTACCATTTTGAGCCCCGTGAGGAATGGCTGGGAGGTGGAGTTAGTGGCACTGGCCGAAGGAGGCGTTGGAGGAACCTTCTCGTGAATCCCCACAGTAGCTAGAGCACAGGCTGTTATTGCTGGGATGGCATAAACACCCAGCTACACAACACAAAGTAAAGACATATTACCAGTCTTTCCAGGTCCACTGCCTCCAAACTAATAAATCAGCTGGTCCACAATCAGCCCAACTGGCTGATTAATGCAGTTTTCATTTACCATCAATGGGATGTGCTTTCCTTCATGAACTAGTGCAGGTGACAGCACGTTTGCTATGAGAATACCCAAGGGATTAGCTGGAATGAAATAAAACAGAGAGACAATTTTTTCATGCAAGCAGTCAGAATCATGTGTTCACCCTACTGCCAGATAGCACCAGAGCTGCAGTGTGCAGCAGAGCAATGAGTAAGGGCAGAATAAGGCACATATAGGGAGAGACCAGGAGGGGAACATTTGGAGAAGTTGACTGTGTGGTCTTACTGTTGCCACATCTGTTCCCTCACCCAGTGAAATCCATTTTATAAACCTGTTTCCCTACAATGCCTAACTCCTGTAAACTGTTTTTCATCTATGAATTACGGTGTCCTCGCCCTCACAATGCTGCCTCAGTATAGGCTAAGATGAATGGACAAAATGAAGATGGATGAATCCTTGCCATCTGTCCTGGTGTGATGTTATATAGCAGCAGTAACAAATAGATATGCTTTCCTTTCTTTACTCCCCCTGTGCCATTATGCATGATCCCCCCAAGCCTTCTCAAGGGTGAACAGTCACAGCTCTCAGCCTCAGTTGGCATGACAGATGCTCCATTCCCTTAATTGTCTTAGTGGCTCTTAACTGGACTTACACTAATATGTCCATGTCCTTCTTGTATTGAGAAGCACAGAACTGGACACAGATCTTCAGATCTGGACAGAGGACCTCCCTCAAGCTGCTGGCAATGGTCTTTCTGATGGTCACCAGGATGTAATTAGTCTTCTTTGCCAAGAGGGCATGAAAAGCAGGAAAGCCCTATGACAGCTCTCTAAGGTGACACTGGGTCATTTCTGACACCTTTCGAGCTGATATATTTCCTCAGTAAAGCCCAGGCTGGCATACAAGTTGATCTCTGCTACCAATTACAAAAATTACATGGCAGAAGAGAATCTTGGACACGCCTGTATCGGAGTAGGAGGTTCCATTGTTATGAGGCTGCAGCTGATCAGCATGTGAAGCAGCACTCATGGGACTCAGCTTGGGAACATTCAAAATTGCAGAAGACAATTTTTTAACTTCAAGGTGATGTTCCACAAACAGTCAAACAAGTTAAGTTGATTTTCTACTGGTGTGCAGGAATGAGGTTAGGAAAGCCAAAGCCAACCTGGAAGTGAGTCTGCTGAGAGACATGAAGGGCAACAAGAATGGCTTCTACAAATGCATTAGCAGCAAAAGGAAAGTTAGGGAAAATGTGGGCCTGCTACAGGATGGGGCAGGAGACTTGGTGACACAGGGCAAAGAAAAGGCCAAGGTATTCAATGCCTTCTTTGCCTCAGTCTTTACTGGTGAAACTGGCCTTCAGCCCTGAGACCAGAGGTAAAGTCTGGAGCAAGGAAGATATACTCTCACTGGAGGAGGACTATGTTAGGGAACATTAAATAGGCTAGACATACACAAGTCCATGGGACTCATGGGATGCACCAGTGAGTGCTGAGGGTTTTCATTGCAAGTGAGCAAGTAAGGAAGTGCACAGTGTTTTCACTGAGGTGAACAAGTGAGGCTGTGTTCACTGCAAGGCCACTCTTGGTCATCCTTAAAAGGTCATCGTAATTCAAAGAGGCTTGGAAGAGAGTGAATGTCACTCCTATATTCAAGAAGGGCAAGGAGAATCCAGGGATCTCCAGGCCTTTCAGTCTCACTTTGATCTTTGGGAATGTCATGGAACAACTAATCCTGGACACCATTTCCCAGCACATGAAGGATAACAAGGTGAACGGGAATAGTCAGCAAGGGAGAAATGCTTAACAAATCTAATAGCTTTGTTCTGGGAGATGACTGGCTGGGTGGATAAGGGGAGACCTGGGGTTGTTCAGCCTGGAGAAAAGAACCTTTATCAGAGAATGTAAAGAAGAGGCAACCAGACTCCTCTCACTGGTGTCCAGTGGCAGGCTAAGAGGCAACCGGCACAAACTGTAACACAGGAAACTCCATCTGAATATAACCTCTTTTACTGTGACAGTTGTTGAGCACTGAAACAAGTTGCTCAGATAAGTTGCAACATGGAGATATCCCTGAAGATAGTCAAAACCTTACTAGACACAATCCTGGGCAACCAGCTCTGGCCAACCGTGCTTGAGCCTGAGGTTGGACAAGACAATCCCAAGAGGTGCCTTCCAACCTTGTCTGTTATATGATGCTGCTGAATCATCATTAATAGTGCTATAGCACACAACAACAGTAGCATTTCTGCTCTGTACTTGGGAAAGCACTAGCTTATAATCCTGGTGAAATGCTATCTAAGTACATGGACACAACCTTTGGGGTAAAATGCATCTGGACATTGTAGAGGACTGCCTGAAAACTACTGTCAGGTGTTTCCATGAACTATCAGCATGCTGAAGCAATTCCAGGAGGTATGGGTGAGGCGTAGAAATGTGTGCATTGGCTAAATTTGAAAAGACTAAGTGAGAATTTCTGAGTAATTACAGGGTTTCAGCCTCCTTCTCTTCCCTGGAAGATAAATGATATGAGCCTAGCCTAAGAATGGAAAGGAGATCACTGGAGCTAATCAAACGTAAATTATGGTACAGGGGTCCTGGTGGATTAGGTTGCAGTACTCTGCAATGGGCCTTTGTGGACAGTGATGCTGATGCACTAAAACTATGCAGGGTGCAGAAAATGACAGACCACAGTAAATGAAGAATCCCATGGATGAAGCAGAGGCCACTTCAGTGGACTCAGACAAGTCTTCTCCTGATACAGGAGAATTTTTCATGGTCTTCACAGGGGATCAGTTCTTGGCTCTGTGCTTCTCTGTGAGTAAGTCTCTACAAGTGATGGGGAGGACCAAGATACAATAAATACTCAAGAGCACAGCTGAGATGTAGTGATTTGAGCTGCTCTGAAGGCTCCTAGGTGCAGGGGCCATTTTAATCTATACACAAGCACAGGGAAGACACCCAGAGGCACTAATAGGAGCTGTGGGGATACCGACAGGAGGCTCTAGGGCCAATTTCTGTGTGCACCACTGATAAACTGATAACTGCAATGCCGAGTGCTCCTCTGGCATTAACAGAGTAAATGAGTATTGATAAATTGGAGCAAGCTGAGAAAAAAAGCTCATGTGAGCAACAGGCAAACATGGAGACATGTGGGAAGAGGCAAAAGGAAATATGCCTGTAGAGTGACTGGGTTGGAGCTGTTAAGTATTTCTAGACAAAGTTGACAAGAAGTGACTCTGTCCATAACTATCTGACAAACAGGTGGAACTAGACTGAATAGCTGGGGGATAAGGCCCATGGAGATGGGAAGTAACATGTAGACATTTGCCTGTGAGGAGTACTGTGAGAACCACTGGAGTAAATGACTGGGGCTGTGGCAGATGCTCCTTCTATGCAATATTTAATCTTTCTTGAAATGAAATCCTGATTTTGTACAGCAGACAGTAATGGGTGTAACCAGGTATTATTAATGAAAGCCCTCTACACAGCAATATGCAGGTGTTGCAGCAGATAATAATCACAGCCCATTCAATCCTCACACTGACATCTCAACATGCCACAGATCGAACAGCTTCAGGTCTTGGGTTTCCACTGTTCCTTGCCCTCCAATTTTATTCTTTCCCATAGTTAGATCCATTTGGTTCTGTAAGGACTGAAGATGCTATGTATAAGAAATGCTCTTTGGCTGCTCTGGCTGCTGTCTCACTTAAAAAGAGCAAGTTATCTGTAGGCTGGGGTCCTTCAATGAAGTGAAGGACTGAGTGTCCAGTGGTCCCTGATAGTACTTGTATTGCACCACAATGACAACAGGGCTCCTTCTCCAGCTGGAAAGGTGAAGGTCTATCTCGGCCTTGGGAAACACGGTGAACCATTAGATCCGCCCTATTCTAGGGAAGGCAGTGCAATAAGAATTTATTTGTTCTGACACCATAAATCCATTCTTGCTAAACAATAGTGCCCATGCTCTAGGCTTGCAGTAGCATTGGGAAAGCTGTATAGGGGTGCTCCTATACTGTCCATTTCCCCATGCCTACCCCTTCCCCACAACTCCAAGGCAGTGGGGATGGAATGTGGTTGGTGGTTGTTTTGAGGGAAGGGCAGGTGGGGATCCCCCACACATGTATGTACTGTGAGATTTCCCATCTGGAGCCAGTGAGCCAGCCCAGTTTCTGGGGTACCTCTCAAGTTCTTGGATAAAGGAGGAAAAGATTTCTTCTGGCTGCTGGGAAGAATGTAACATGGAAGGAGGAAACAGGTCTGTCAAGTGCAGTATCCTGTCTCTAGCAGGGCCCAAAGGAGCCAAGAAAGGAATCAGGTTAGAGCAAGCATATCTGGTGCCTCCCCTCCAGTTTCACAGCTTCCAGGCACTTTGCAAGGCAGATGTGATTTCTGCATGGGCAGTCTTGCTGCATTTAGCAGCCCCAACATGTTTGTGTGGCCAGCTGAGTATATTTTATCTGTGTGTGCATACATACCAATTGGGAATTCATGCTCAGCCTTGCTACTGGACAAACTGGTAGAGAACATTGCTGCAGCAGCCTCACCTCTATCCAGTCACAGAATTTGGCAACTGTGACCACTGGCATCACCTGCAATTTGGAAGCCTTCCTAACAAGCTGCAGATTTAAAGCCACTACAGACTTTCAATTTAGTAACACTGAGGGCTGTCCTCAGCCTCTACAATATTTAGGCAAAGATGATCACTTCATCATGGCAGAGAGGAAGAAAGTTGGGAGCCTGGGTGGCTTTGAACTTTGCACCTGGATGTGGATAAGGCCCACTTCCTGCTCCCCAGCATGGAAATGCCTGCCTGTGTTGTGGGGCGTTGAAGGCACTAGTTTATGGCACATGGCTATGAGACTTTTGGGCAGAGCTGTATTTGCAGGGGCAAATGGCTATGGTATAGAGGCTTTCCTGGCAACAAATGCTAGCTCTGGGAGGCAGCAATATTACTTTGCAGCTATCACTTACACATTGATGCGATCATATTTGCTGTTGCTCTCTGGTGGTCTGGAAACCACAGTGCTGCCAGTTTTGTTGGTGAAAAGATGATAAGGGGCTGTGCCAGTGCACAGAAGCATTGTCCAATAAACAGGTACCAGTACCTCTGGGAACCCAAACTCAGGAACTCCAGGATGCTGAACATCCGGATGATGCTACCCGTCATGTTCAGCCACGCACTCAGGATCACCTGCAGCAAGCAGAAACAGCCAGGGATTGAGTGCTGAAGCCTGAAGGCAGAACTTAATGCAAGAGTAGCATGAGCAGGGTCTGAGATACCTATAGGAGACACTGGGTGTTAGTAATCACTGCATGGATAGCTGTCTGCAGACCACCCTCACCCCTTTTGGGATACTGCAAGATTCTCTTGGAATCAACAGTGAGTTAAATGTCTCCTTAGGGAGCAAGGTGGCTGTCCTGTCCCCACATGAAACTACACCACAATGTGGCTTATGCAAGACTGCATACACTGTCATGGAACTGATGAGAAATCCAAAATTCACTAATCACACTCTGCAAGTTTGCACCATCACCCATATTTTGCTGTGACAATCCAAACATCATGGCAATGAGTCATCCAGCATATGGGTCCTGCAAATGCTCTTCTATACCACTAGCATGCTAGTGTTTCAGTGCCACATTCCACAACACTCTTGCTTCTGGGAAGACTGTATAGAGATTCCGAGCTAGCTTAGCAAAGACCATGCTCTGAGCTGATAGGGGTCCCTTAATTGCGTCCTGCCCTGCTACTCCTTAAACTGGTCCTGCAAACAAAACATCCGTGCTAACACTTTTTCACAGCAAACCCTACCCAATTACAGCAAGCTCTTCTGAGTCAGCTCACAGCACCTGTCCCTGTCAGTTGGCTAAAACAACAAAACACTGAAGAAGGAAAAGACAAGTAGGGATGCAATATTATTCTGACTTTTCCCACTGCTCCCCACCTCAGAGGTGATGTGACAGCTATTACTGAAGTCTTCCATTTACAGTATGCATGTTAGTGCTTTGTGCAGCTACTGCTATCACTAGATGAAATGCCCTCAGTGAAAGAAAATAGTTCAACTCACAGCACATCTGAGCCCCACGCTGTCGAGAACCCATGTTGCCACCAGACCAAATGGGATTGAGATGAGGAGATACACTATCGAGAGCCAGTTGACCATCTCCAGGGAAACATGGAAGTAGGCAGCTGTCTTATCAGCCACAGGAGCAAACGTCAGCCACAGCTGCAGAGTAGAGAGCAAAGATGGGCAAGCATGAACACTGCTACCAGGACAGAAATTCAGCATCCCCTCAGACTGTCTAAATAAATTGTGAAGGGGCTTGCTATCTTAGCCTCTGCTTGAATTTAGGATGTTAAGGTTGGTAATAAAACTTCAAGCCCCCAGTGTTTGCAGTTACTCAGGCTAGGACTACTTTACCACTGACATCATCGTTATCTTGGCCCAGAGCACCCCATCCATTTCACTACCTCACACCCAAACCCCTAGTCCTGCTGCTAGGAGCTGGCAGAAGCAGAGGTCAGTACCTTTTTGTGTCCCCAGGTTGAACATGCTGGCCCCTGGTGCACTTACTTACCTGATGTAAACCATAAGCGATCCTCCTATGTTAGCATAAACAAAACAGAGGATGCCATCTCCTCTCTGCAACTAAGAGCCTCTTAAACTCAGCCTGGAATTTATGGTGACATTGGTAACCCCTGCATGTGGCCTTGTAAGAACAACTTTGCTATGTGACAGCCAAGAGAGACATTATTCCATGCTGTCCTACACACACTCAACAGTTACGAAAAGGTCTAGAAATTTGCATTATTTGATATATCAGAATACACACAGGAGAACACAAGAGGCACTTTAACAACTATCCATCTTTTCCTTCCAGTGCCATATCTGAAAATCTTTCCCTAAACCTTGTTTTAGGCACTGGTTTCATAAGGTTGCTGTCTGCTTCTGGTTTCTTTGGGGAATGAAAGGCCTGCTTTGATCCTCAAAGCAGGTCCTGAGATCATGCTCCCAAGAAAGAAATGAGGGTACTACTCCAGATTTAAAGATGTTTCTGTGGATTCTTTGCAAAGATGCCCTCTCTGGAGCTTTTCAAAAAGACTGGCCTAACCTGAGAACCGGTTTCAATAATGTGGATGTAAGCTACTCCTCTGTTAGAATATGATCTTGTACCTGCTGAATACTCAAGATGATAAAGTTTGAAGAAACATGAACAAAAACTTCAGCTACAGCTTCCTAGAAAAGAACTCTAGCCACTGTCTCTTTCCAGGTTCCCCTCTCCACCACCACAAGCTTCCTTTTCACAGCCTGCATCCTGTAGACACCATCAGCTACAGCGTTACTATGTAACTGAAAAAGGGCTTGGGTAACCTCAAAGGTGTGTCCCTACACTCTGCTACTTTTGTTTCTAGTGTTCCTATTTACTTAATAAAAGCTGGAGACCATAAAAACTACCGCATAAAATTGAATCAGAAGGGGATGTGGGCTTTTCATCTTTCTCAGTGTCACTGTGTGAGAATAGCTACAGGCAAATCACTGTTTAGATAGGCTTTTCTCCTAGTAGGAATGCAATGAGTAAATGTCAGTAACAGGGTAGTTTTGAATGTATTATCAGTGTTGTAGCAAGGACCCCCAGCATCAGCCCTTTCCTCTTTGAAAGGAGCTGAAATGCCAAATTTCCTACATTCAACACAAAGCTCACATTGCCATGCTAGGCTCAGACACACCCATGTGGGATCAGTCAAAGGTCTGGCAGGGGGTGGATTTGGTGTTTACTCAGCTTTCACAATCAGGTGGGTGAAGATGCTGGGAGCTGAAGGAAGTTGTACTCTTCTTAGACACAAGGAGGTTTTTCCAGGTCACTGGGAGACTTGCAGGAAACTTATAATAAAATGAGCTTTAAAAAAATTCCTTGAAATAGTACATTATAGTGGAATGATATTACCGTCTTGTCTCAGGAAGAAATTTCACCCACCTTCATTTTTCCAGAACTGATCTCCATCAGATTGGGATGGGAATTTAAATGCTTAATGCTAATGTAACTGTTTAAATATTACAACCATCACTAAGGCATAAACATTAGTTTGATTATAGGATGCTAAACTGCTCCTAAACAAAACACAGCTGTGTAATTTCAGTAACAGTAATTCTGTTTCTTGCTGCCTTCCAGATTGGGATGGTGGTGATGAAACACTGTACCAGGAAACAGTGTAATTAAAGAGATGATACATTTTGTAAGCCAGCTTCAGGTACATTTTCATCCCTCTTGTCCCTCCACAAACACACTCTGCTGAGCATGACATCATTAGGAGAATGATGCCACAAGCCAGAGCACAGCATTTTGTATTGACTGGCCATATACACCTAGGTGAACTGGGATCAAGCATTCTGTCATGTTTCCATTAGGCCTATTAAAATCATTCCTTGCTGAAAACCAAGTATTTGGGCTGCCCTGTAGCTCTATCCCAAGCAAAAGCTCCAGTTCTAATGTATGTGTATGACAGTACAGAAGGTTAGAAGTTGCAGCCTGTCCAAGCCTGAGTTTGTTCTTCAAAACAGGAAGGGGGTTTCTTTATGGGTCTGAAGAGAAGTATGTCTCTACCTCCATTCAGGCAGGAGGCAGGGGTTGTTTACTATGTGTTGCTCTAACAGAGAAATTGACAACTGGGCAATGGAGTTAGATGTGTAGCTGTGGTCAAAGTGTCCGCCAAAGCCACTCTGCAACAAAGAAATGGCACTGGGGGGGGGGTTGCCAAAACAGGGAAATTGCTGTGCTAAGTGAGTATGCCACCTTCTGCTTTTGGTTTTCCCAGCTATGATGGCTTCATCCACAGTAGTTAGCAAGTCCTGATGGGTGCTAGAGTCCTTATCCTATATGTTTTTTGTGAAACTGCACTGCCAAGGCTGGTAATTCGACAGGGACTGCCCTCATTAACATCCCCTCAGGCAGAACAGGGTGAGGATGGTATAGTTCTTCCCAGGTGAGGTCTAAGCCTTGTAACCTCTAAAGATGCAGAATAGAGACAGAGGTTCCTCTCTCCTCCACTCCCCAAGGGTCATTGTCTTAATTCAGCTCTGGCACACCAAAACCAATATCAACGCTCCCCACTGTTGACCATGGAGACAGATGCAGGAGGAGAAATAATGTGTGGGGTTATAGAATGCTAGTCCCAAAAAGCCGGTTGCTCCTCAAAAGATAAAGGAAAGAGAAACAGACAGACACCTCTTGCAGGGTTGTCTACACACTTGTTCAGTCCCTGCATAAGCCTCACTTTATGCCCTTGTGGTCTCGTCGAGCTGCATTCCATTGCCTGTGTAGCCACACAGGTACAGAAGGCATCATGGAGAGTCTACATACACATCAACATGTGCTACTCCAAAGGCAGCTCAATGAATATCACAACAGCAGAACAGAGAAAGTCCAGCCCTTTGTCAATGTCTCTTCCTGTCTTGCAATGATGAGAAGCAATTTCATTCACCCACTATGGCTTATGTCCATTCTGAGCCCTGTGAGGGCTACAATTAACCAAAACCTCTTAGCAAATTTTGACAAAATTCCCAGCTTGGCACCTCACAGATCAGGTATGCCTTGTCTCTGAGGCTTCAGATGCACCCAGATCAGGGTCCCACACGTTGACTCTGCAGTCCCCAAAGCAGAACACAGCTGGGCTGCTTAACAAGTTGGAGTGGATGATGTTGGAGGTCAGCATAAGACCACTCCCTAGGCCATGGCAGAGTTAGGTCAAGTTTTTTACAGAGAAGCCCATGCAGAACCACTCAATCACAGGGACTCTTCCCTTTGAGCACCAAACAACCACAGTGGGGTTGTGAGCCGAACCCCTTAATACTTGGTAAAACTCACTTCCCAACATTACCTCACAGATTTTGCATTATTTGTTCTCAGATGACAGCTCCTGCTCTAGTATAATCCAATATCACTGGCAATCATCACTCACGTTGTAGACCACAGTATTTGATCCTTCAGCATTTGGGATGGACTTTTCCCTCCCTTCAGATATGCATTTGGCAGGATGTTGAAACAGCCGCTGTATTAACATGCACCATTTGTTCTCCAAATGCAGAAATTGTAGTTCCCACACTCTTCTCCTCTCCTAAACTCAAGCCTTAGAAGCATATTCATTGCACTGTCATTTCTGAGTTTTGAGGTAGCAAAAGCTCCAGTGCATGCTCGTCCAGACAGGACGTCATACCTTAGCACACACTCTTCACTATAAAAACCTGTGCTCTACACAGTGGGCACAGCAACTGATGAAGAGGACAGCAGGTCCCCTGAAGACCCATGAGCCCATTCTGGCTTCCACTGAAGTACAGATGCAGCTGCTCTCACTGCTTTCAGCATGCAGCTGGCTGACTCGGTTAGCTGTGCCTCATCACTAGAAGAAAAGGACATAAATGTTTTCTACCCAGAGTCTATCTATAACCTCAATTACAGGAAAGTCCCCTCCACAACTCCATTAACAATGGAGCATGTGCAAGCACCAGGGAAGCAAGTGAACTGAAACTCAAACCGTTTGACTGGTACTGATATTGGAGGGGTACAGCCTCCATTTCAGCTCTCCCTTCCTTTGCTTTAACTTTCTTCTAGTTGACATTTTGTTTTCTCTTCTGCAACTCCAAAAGACTGCTGGCTCTGTTCCCTAATAATTGTGGGCCTGCTTGAGCATTCCTGTAACCAAGAACATGTTACAGATGTTCTCATCCTGCCCCCATTTCTAAGCTTTTTTATTGCTATGATACCTTTGTAAACCCTTAACCGATTCTCAGACATGGATCCAGCCCTCTTCTTCCCAGAATCAGCCCAAACACTTAAGTTTTCCTTCTGCTTTTATTCCCCTTCTACCTCCATCTTTTCCAGGTTCAGTTCCTCTACCCTATCACCTTTAATGTTTTCACTCCCACACAAACTCTCTGGGACCTATTTCATCTGCAGGACCCAGTTTCCCTCCGCCCATTCCACAGGAGGCCAATATCTGCCCGCCCTCCCACTTCTGCAGGAGGTTAGTCGTGGGCTGTGAGCTACCAATTCTCTGCAATGGTAGCAAGGTGATAGCTGAAGACAGGACTCCATACAGATTCTACACTTCGGTAAGCAACAGGTGTGAGCTGCAGAAGGCAGTATAAATAAACACAGCTCCAGGCTTTTCAGAGCTCAAAGAGCAGTAATGATATATTGATACACCACACATACAAGCAGGTGCAGCCCTGCCAGAAGCAGTACCAAAAATGTTGTTTTTCATGAAAGGCAACCTGTTAACCAATGTCTACCCTCCTCATCTACAAATCAAGATTCTAAAAGTGAAAAGCAAAATCATCTGCAAAACGGCAAGCACATGCGATCAGGCAGGGTGAAAATTAAGCCATTTTGCCATGTCAATGGTGGTATCAGCTAGCAAAGCCATATGGAGCGCTCTTCACTGTCTGGCAGACTGTATAGCTGTGCACAGTGTAGCAATGTCCCTGTAATACCTTTCATGTACAGCTTAAAAAGAAGGAGCCGAGGGGGGATGACTTACATGAAACCAGACTTTCTGCTTTGTAAGAGGCACAGCTTGCTGATCCCCAGGCAGGCACTGCTTGCAGCAGCCCTCACAGTCCCAGCATGCTCTCTACCATGCACCAGGATACCGCTTTGAGGGTGATGTAGGATGTCTTCCTGAGACATGCAGGCTGCCTCCTATTCCCCTGGGACTGGGCTATGAAGCCCTTACACCAGAGTCCTCATCTTAAAGGTCTAAAGGGCCACACAGGCTCGAAGCAAACAGCCCCTCACCACAACCGAAGGCACTGATGCTGACAAAGCAGCCTAGAAAGTAAGGATAGAGGTGTGATCTTCAGAAAGGTCAGATCCCTGCCTAGATGTCACTTTTAGCCCCTACAGCTCTCAGGAGGATTAGCAGGACACAACAGCCAGGCAGCAGCAGCTGTGTGTGCATCTCTACAGGGGTATTGCTGGAGCAGACAGGTGTTGGGGAGAAGCATGCACACCCTGCCCTGGAGCATGCCAGTCTCCACTTGTGTAGCCCCCCTTTCTCCCCCAAGTATACTTAGCAGTTGTGGAAGTCCTCCAGGCTGGTGACACAGAAACCCCCTGTCCAAGTGTAAGCCAGCTCCAACCATCTGCTCTCCTCCTCTCCAGCTTGCTCATGCTGACAAGCACAGAATAGGGCAGGAAACTCTCTGTTTCATTCTTCTGTTCATTTCTCTGTCCCCAGTGCTAAGGCAAGAAAAGTTTCTCATGTGAAACACAAAGTTCTCACCTATTCAGCTTCACAGAAAGGAGACGAGGAAGGAGGTATTTGCTGCAGCAGCTTACTGCTAGAGCAGCTGTCAACACACCATGAATAATCTTAAACATTAAGTTTTCAGATTAGAAAACCCACACACTCAAAACCACAGCATCAGTTTGACAAAAAAAATCTGGGGAGCAACCACAGGTATATTTATGTCACCCCTCACCAGAAGTGATTCAAGAGAGAGCTAGGGATCAACCATCTAAGCTTAGTCGTGGTCAGAACAGCCTCTCTGCCCAGGACTTCAGACAGCAAGTGAATTATACTGATGCCTACTTATGGCTTTCTTAAGATAATGCAAGAGTTTCTTACTCTACATTGTCAGCTAGGAATTTCCAGAATATCTGTATTTAGGAAATGAGACCCAGTCTCTGGTAAAATAGTACCCCCTTTGTAGAGCAGGGAGAGACAAAGGCTTTTAAACTCACGTCACTAATAGAGATTCAAGTAAGGAGCTAATTATTGTTGGTGTAAGAGTTTCCCTTATATCACATTTACTCCACTGTGCTTTGGTTAAAAGAGGGATTTCACATGATGATGTGGAGCAGGATGAAGTAGAGAAACGTGCCCCTTTTATCACCACATAGTCTGGTGTGGCTCTGCTCAATCACTATCCTAAAACAGACTGAACTAAGAAACACTCCTGTCTCAGCCTGCCCTTGCTGCTTGACCAAGTGTGCTTTCCTGCAGTTACGTTGCTTCCACCTGTCTTCCTGACACTGACAGTCTCTCCCTCTCGGGATTGTCGCCTGTCTGCCACTTTTAGTGACACTGAAGGCCACTAATAGAAAACTGCATGTGCAAATGGGTAAGAGTGGGGAATACAAGGCATTGCCCCGGAAACCTAGTCCAGCACATGAGGTGATCTGTTCTTTCCAAGTCAGACAATTCAAGTCATATGTCCTCACCATATGCATTTTGCAGATAGCCTGAGACAGGAATACACAGAACAAAGTGCTGCATGCAACATCTGCGCAGGAATTGAGGACACATCTTAACTTGCAAGGCAATTTTCACACCACAGAACTGGTAAATTAATCTTTCCATCTGGAACAGCAACCAACCACTTTGACTTCATGGCCTTTCAACCACTCCCTCAATTTTAATGTGATTTTTATCACGAACATTTAGGAGAAACTTTAGCATCAGGAAATGTTTGATTACAAATTTATGTCAGTATACTTGCCATTCCAGACATGTGCAGTGGCTTAGAAACAGTATTTCCACACTAGGATATTTATTAAGCACCCAGTTTTGAAGTGGTGAAGTTCTGTCTGAAATTCATACTGTGGGAAAAAAATACTGTGGACAGGGAAGTCGGCAAAAGACCAAACAGACAGACAATAGTACAATCTTTCAGGGCTGCAGAGTTTTCAGGAACATGATTCAGGACACAATTATACTTGCAGATGCATTGAAAGGACCTTTTTAAGTAACCTTTCAGTTTCACTGTTAAGGTTTCAGCAAAGTCTGACAAGACATCCTGGAAAGGTTTTGTACAGGGTGGGGTTTTTTTCTTGCTACATAACATTCCTGTGCTGCGTCAAATTAACTGCAAGCAAGCAGCAGGTCTTCACATTGCTTTTCTGCAGAACACTTTCTTACACTCTTAAAGGATACATAGACTTTCCCTTGAGAAGGCACATTCATTTTTTGTTTTCCATATACAACCAAATTTTCACTATGTTTTTCCATTTCTCTACTCCAGCACTTTTGCATCATGGAATACATACTCTCCCTTCCAGCATTTAAATGTTTACAGGTTGCAGTGTCTGATCTTGGCAGCCAGACAGCTTGCATTCACAGAATGGTAATCGTCAAGCACATGAATAATTCTACATCAGTCTGATATTTATCAACAATGTCTTCAGTAACTTGGTGAGTAAAGATTTGGGCTTCCATCTTGCATACTAGGACCTGGTAAGGCAAATGTTTATGTGTTTATCCTGATCATCACCGAACTTAGTTTTAATCTGTTCAACAGGTGGGGTATGATCCAGTATTCCTTTTTCTCAGGTCTTTCAGAAAAAAGTACCTGTAGGCAATAAGAAGTTCACACACCAGTATGTCTACTGTAGAATCACTCCTGTACTGTTCTGTATGTGCAACAGACCCCAAAAGGAAATCCATTCGCTCCTTTCTGTGACCAGATAAATCTGCTGCCATAGGCCAGCAGTAAGGCAGAGCAAACTCCTGCTTCTCTACCCAAGTGATTTCAACACTGTTTTCCTAGTCTTAGGTTTGAAACATGTGACCCTCACAGACGCTGAATACTTTCTATTCCTCCCCATGGCCTACAAAGCGTACTCGGCAGGAATTTAAGCTGTGCTCCAGGATGCGTTCTACTTGACGCTATGGTACTTCCTGCTGTGCTCTTCTGGATCACGCACACTCTCCGCCCCATCCTGCCCTCGCCCCCCCTGGTCAGAAATGGAGGTGTGCAGGCCGAAGTCGTAACCAGAGAAACAAGTTCATGAAGAAAACCCGCTTATTCGGTCACTGAGGCACGGCCAGGCTGAACCTTCTTTGCGCTGTGCGAATACACTTGAATCCCGGTGCTCCAAGGATGAGGGGGTGGATGTGAGACAGGGCACTGAGGCAGAGCCCTGAAGATTGCCAGGCTGCTTCTAGGAAGAGGCAGGAGGTGGTTCTGGCTCTGGCGAGCTCTATCACCCCATCCTCCCTCGGCAGCAGCAGTCAAAGTCGCTCACCAGAGCTCCGGCACAAGTAGGCAGGGGAGAGGGCTGTCTGCCCTGCCTGCTCGCACGGCTGCTCGGGCACCCCGGGAGCGCCGGCGGCCGTTCCTTTCCCCTCCCCCGGCGCGGGGCCGCCCGCGCCTTTCCGGAGGAGTGACCCCGATGCCCTGCGCGCCCGCGGCCCGCGCCCCCCGCCCCAGGATGCGGGGGCTCCGCCAGCTGCGCAGCGGGAGCGGCTCCCCGCGGGGCGGGAAGCCGGGCGGCTGCTGGGTCTCGGCCAGGCCGGGGTCGCCCCCGCGCTGCACTCACCATGGCGTTGGAGCAGTTCAGCAGGCACACGGCGGCCAGCAGGAACCACCGCCGCCGGTAGGTCTTGAACTGGGCCAGCCGCCCAAGGCCGCGCTCCCCTAGCAAGCTGGACGATTCGGCACCCTCCATTGCCGCGCGGCACGGGCACGGCACCGCCCAGCCCCGTCACGCTCGCCGGCCGCCCCGGGGCGGCCCCGGCTGAGCCACCGTCTACCGCCCGGCAGGGATCGGCACGGCACGGCACGGCTCCGCTCGGCACAGCTCAGCTCGGCACGGCCCGCAGTGTGGGGCAACCCTGCAGGTGCGCAGTGTGGGACCGCGCCAAACTCAGCCACAGCCATTTCCCACGGGTGCTGGACCTGGCCCGGAGCTGGCTGCCAGTGCTCAGGGAGCCGTGTTTGCCCTGTTGCTCTTGGCAGAGGGGAAAAGCCCGGTGCTCTGAAATGGGACTGCTTAGGTGCTTGGAAGGTGTTCTGATAAGACGCTTGGAGAGAAAATTCCTCTTTTGCTCCGTGTGTCTTTAAAACAACAGCAGCAACAACATCACTAGTGCTCCTAGTTTGTAGTGCTCCTATTGTAAATGTCACCGTTAACTCTTGCGTTGGGACAGCACCAGAGTGCTTCAGTGGTTGGGGGTGCTGGTGGCAGTAGGACGGAGAAGCCTTGTAGGAGCAGCCCTGTCAAAAGTATTTGCTTACTGAAGTAGAAAAAGTATTAGAGGAGAGTGAGGGGAGGATATTAAGACCCACAGGGGTCTCTCAGCTATGGGATGTACAGTTTGGTTATGGTTTTATATGACTGATTATGCTGCAGACACCAGTATCTTCTTCCTCCAAAGCAGAGACACCCAGACTAGCTGTTACCTCCTTCTCAAAAACTCACCAAGGCAAAAAGCCAAAAGTGCAAAGCAAAAGCCTCCTTTACTCTTAAACAAGACCTGTGGCTTCAGGTTGGTTGGACATCGATAGTGCCAGGATGTCTTTCTCCCAACCCTGAGATTTGATCACCCTCCCACACCCACCACACACCTACTGCTCAGCCTCAGAAATGCTGAGCCACCAGGTTAATGGATTCCAGAAATTCCAGAAATGGCTGCAGGGCACTGTTATCCACCATGTCACCTCTTGCTCAGCCCTCTGAAACCCTTTTGTGGTTCCTCAGCACAACACCCTCTCAGTCAGAGCCTGGTGTCATTTACTGTGAGAAAGCCTTTATTTCAAATACTTTGGACATATTTAGAAGAATGGGAGTGTTACCATGCATACAAGTATTCGTTCATGAAAAATTTTAGCTGAAATTTTCCAGGGGGTAGGGGAGTGGGGGGGGAGGGTTGGGGTGAGGAAGGGGAGAAGGTTAGGAAATAAAGGGGGAGGGAGAGAGAGAGAGAAAGCGGAAGGAGGGAGAAGAAAACATTCCAACCCCAAGTCAAGCCTGTTGTTACATGGTAGAGAGAAGCATGGGTTGTTGTGCTAGTGAGCAAGGTTTACTGACTGATAGACTGTGCCTTCCAGTCTCCAGCTGGAATCGGGGCTTGACATTTAGTAATAGCAAGTAGGACTACTAAGGTAATATTAATGATTGACCTGTTCCTCATTCTACAAATGCCTGACTAGGTTTGCTTGGCTTATGAGCTACAGACAAAAAAGTACTGCTGTTTTTATGCTGTAGGCTGAGGCACAGCAACTTTTGCCCTGCTCTGAAGAGACGTGCTGTGACCTGGGTTGTGTGCATGAGTTAACTGCCACCCTTACCTGTCAGTGCTGACACACTGGGAGAAAGCTGTACATCAACACGGTAGAAAGAGTCCTGCGTGTACAGGGCAGCAAAAAGACCCAGTGGTCAGTGCTCAACAGAAGAACCATCATTCCCTCCTCTCCCCAGTTGGCAGGCAAGCCCTGTATGAAAATGAACTTCTCTGAGGCTCTGTCCACGTGATCTGTCCACTGTGTCAATCCCTTTTCAGCTCAAAAATCTGTGTTACCATCAAAGAATTCTGAATAATGCTGGAAGAAACCAGGATCCCATGTGAAATATCTTTACTGCTTCTGCTCTCTGCTGTCCATTTTGTTAGTAAAATACATAAAAGCTCAAATTACATGTATTTGTAGAACAGACCAGAATAAAGGCTGCCCTGTTTTGCCCCTTTCTGCATTATTTCTTCTGTCAAGATAACATGGTGTGCTGTTTTCTACTTGAAATAGGATCCAGGAGTGAGTTGTAGCTGGACAGTGAAGCAGACACTGTCTATGAGAGCTCTGTCACCTTGAGTGGAGACATCAGAAAGTATGTGTGAAGGAAGGCCACAGAAGGGGAAAAAGACAACTACACAGGAGAGAACTACTGTTCTGTTTGGACCAGAATAATCGGAGGAATCTGTGTAAGTCACATCTGGGAGGAAGTTCAGTATTTTTTTCCGCTCATCCTGGTCCTAGACATATTGCCTTGCTGTATGTACCCTGAGAGGACTAATCTGAGCCTGCAGGGAGATAAGACTACTCAGAGAAGCTCTGTGCAACTTCATATAGACATGCTTTATACCATGTCTCCCATGAATGGGGCACCACTGGCAGCACACCAAGGACAACAATAGGATTAGTGTTGAAGGAGAGTGACCCCATCTACCCTACATCTTCTCATTCTTTCCTGGTGCTCCACTTCCACCCAATACATCTCCACCAGTCCCCATCTTCCCAGTGTCACTGTCTTTTCCCCACACCTCAGCACACCCTACACCCTCTTTTCATCCTGGCTTTTGTTTTCAGGAACTGGCAGCGTAAGCCAGATGTCACAGGTATTTCTCAGTTAAGCAATTTCTTGTTTTATAGGTACTCAGGTACCTGTGGTCTCTGATGTGTGAACGTATGTGATGTACACTGAACAGACCCAGCTACACAACTTGTACACTGAACAGCCTCTGCTACATATATTAAAAAAACTCAAAAAACTCAAAAAACCAAACAAACAAAAAAAAAAAAAAAAACCAACCAACCAAACCAAACCAAACAAAACAAAAAAAACCCATGCGGCTGGGGGAGGGGAAGAAAAGCAAAACAAAACCAGAACCAAAAACCAAACAACACGTTTGTTTTCTATCAGGGAGGGAAATGCTGAGACAGTTAGGTATGTGAAAGAAGGTTTTCTGTAATGGGGTAGTGAGAGTCTCGGTGGTTCTATAATGGGTGTGGAACAGCTTAGTGTTGGGAGAAGATTCTGCATCCAAAGCAGCTTTCTAGTAATGAGCACTCACAGTAGGAATTACAGGATCATTCAGGTTGACACCTCAGGAGGTCTCTAGTTCAACCTCCTATTCAAAGCAGGGTCAAGCAATGAAATCAGACCAGTTTGTTTAGGGTTCAATCTGATCTTGAAAACCTTGAATGATGGAGACTGCACAACCTCTCTGGGCAACCCATTCTACTGCTGGACTAGTCCTAGGATAGGTGCCACAGTAGCCTTCAGATAGAGTACAACTCATTAACCACAACCCTCTGACCCAATCCAACACGTACTTTACCCCTCCTGATACAGGGCCTAGATAGGAACAGGGGATGTAAGGGTTAATGTGGGAATAGCAAGAAGGGGATGAGGAGGGAAATAGTCGAGATAAGAGTTTGCCTAGCTTGTACGAGGTGTTTGTGTTGCTCAACCACTATCTCCTGTTTAAGTAAAAAGCCTCCTCCACCCCTGAGTAAGTGAAGATTACCCCACAACCGGCACAAACCTGCTCTGCGGGTCCAGGGGGTGACAGAGACTGCGCAGGAATTCGGGGTGAAAAGTTCAGCACTGAGGAAGAGGAGATACTTCCTCCCACGACCACCGCCCAGTCCTTCACGACCCCTGCCCAGGACCAAAGGAACTCACTGCGCAGACTCAACTGGGAGGAGACCATGGAAATGCTAATTTTAATATGAAGCGGGGATAGGTGATGCATATGTATAGGCGTATTGCGAAATATTATGAATATGTAATCATTTGCTCTATAAATCTAAGGCAATGGTGCCACATGGGAGCACACATTAGGAGGAGTGATCCCCTGTGTGCCCAGCGCTGAATAAACATACCTACTTTACAATCTATCAGATTGTGGAGTCTGTTTTCCGCACGTCACTCCAGTTGTCTCCTTGTCTAGACCATCATGTCCTAACTTAGATACAAGAATGCTGTGGGAGACTGTTGAAAATGTGCTTGACTCATGGTAAATGACATCCACTGCTCTCGCCCCACCCACAAATCCCATTATTTTATTTTAAAAGGCAGGCAGGAAGGTTCATCAGGTATGGTTTATGCTTGGTGAACCCACACTGATTATTCCCAATGGCCAACTTTTCCTTCATGTGTCCAGAAATACAATCCAAGAGAACCTGGTTCATGTTTTTTCCAGGGATTGAAATGTGACTGGACAACCTGCAGTTGCCTGTACTGCCCTTTGAGTGCTTTTTGAATTTAGGTGCAACATTTCTCCAGTTAGCAGATGTATCCATGGCCTCTCAAAGATGATTGCAAGTGGTCTTGCTGTGGCATCAACCAGCTCTCTCAGCTCCCTTGGACACAGCCCTACTGGCTCCATGGACTTCTATGAGTCAAGTATTCTCCAGCAATCCCTGACTCATGCACTAATGGTCATTCTTCCCTTCCATGATTCCCAGGCCTTGAGGCCTGGGAAACCTTGCTGGTGAAGATTAAGGTAAAAAAGGCATTGAGTTCCTCCAGTTTGTCTGTGTCCACTCTCACTAAATCACCCACCCTACCCAATAACTGTCTCCATTTTCCTTGTTCATCCTTTTACCAGTAATTTAGCAGCTGAACTCTTCTTGTTACCCTTGACATGCAGCTGAAACTCTAGCTGAGCTTTGGCTTTCCTGACACCATCCCTACACGCCTGGGCAATGTTTCTAAATTCCTCCTTTGTAGCCGAACCCTGCTTCTATCTCCTGTATGCTCTTTTGCACAGGAGTTGTGCCACGATTCCCTACTTACCCAAGCTAATCTGCTGATATGTCTCCTTTTTTCCTGAATATTGAGATGGCCTGTTCTTGTACTTGGTTGAAGCTTCATAGATCTCATCACTGCTGGAGGCAGTGATAGAGTGAAAGGCTGCTTCTTCCCCTCCTGTGCACCGAAAGAGGCAGGGAACAAGATGCTCTGAGCTGCAGAACTAAGAAACCAGATGCCTTGGGGATGCACCACTGGGTTGGCTAGCACTGAGTAAATTGCAACTTTTTGTCATGATTGGGGCATTAGTAGTATCCCCCAGCTGCATGAGTTATCTGCTTGCTGCTGGCGCTTCAGGTTTTATATGCTGGGGTGCTAATATGTTCTTCAGCCATAGATTTTCATGAAACTGTGGGAACTTTGCTGGTTTTGAGAAGGCTGACCCTCCATCAGGTTCCATTAATATTTGCTAACATTAAAAAATAAAAAACAAAGGAGAGGGAGGGGAAGAAAACAGATGGAGGTACTAGTTCTGTGCCTTCCTTACTATGTAAGGAGCCCAGGTTAAAATGGTACCTGCAAGTGTAATTAAATACCATGCAGGCTCACTAGGTGCAGAGTTTGTGTTATGGGGGTGGAGGTGGAATTGTTGTGCAAAAGATTGCTCAAGCAATTTTTATTGTGGTATTTCCTGATGTTTCAATGTTTAAATTAGCAAGCCTTGATTAATTTGAATTCCACAAAAATACAGTGAAAAATGCTGTCATTACATAAATAGATCCACCATCCACTACTGTTCTGTTTCTTGGCCTGGTATTAGAAGCATGAGGAGACTTCCCCAGAGAATCATGGATTTGAGATAATCTGTACCTTTTACTGCTAATTAAAGTGTATATTTCTATGGCTTGTGGCAGAGACGGCTCCAAAGACTCATTCTGCATACCTGGAGGCCATCATCCTCTTTGTTTCCACAGAGCACACTGGAAGGTGAGTTGGAAGAAACCAGTAAAATTTTAATTTGCAGGACTCTCACGATGTATGTCTATGACCCTTCATGGAGCAGAAGATTATATGTTTAAAAAGAAAAAAAAACAACAGAGCAATTGTTAAGTCCACAGAGGAAACCAGTGCAAAGGAGCTTCCAGACTTCAAGAGACTATTGCATACACAAGTTCCCTGTTACTGGCAGACATGGAGAGGAAACAGGAATGCAGAAGTCACTGCACTGGCATGTTTGCAGACTGCTGAAACAAACACTTTCCTCCAGACATAAAGATTAGTTGCTTACTTTCCCAAACAGAGCTAAACAGGCCAGTCAAATCTGAAAAATATCTTAGGAGACAGCAAAACGCATATCCAG